TAATAATAATAATAATAATAATAATAATAATAATAATAGATCATCTGCCTTATAAATCCCAGAAAACGTAAATTGGCGCCGCACAACAGAAGAGAGTCTAAATAACTCGAGTGGGTGTGGCGCGTAGGACTTTTGGACTGGGTCCACTTTGAATGTGATAATAAAGTTCATCGTTCACTTTGCTGTCTTATCAAAGTATGAATGACTTACTTGAGGCAGTCATGTTGAGAGCTTTTGGAAATCAGTTCAAGTACTTTATCTGACAAGTTTCAGAAAACTTCGCGGTTCCCGCTCGCGATACCCGAAGGTTTCGAAAAGGAACTTATGGCATTATGTACCATACTGGCATCACAGGCAGTAGCTAAAGGTCTATAAACGTGTTTCGCCGTGTTTCCAGCTCATCAGTAGGTCCTCCAGCTTTCCCTGTGTGCTTTCTGGCTGATACACCAGTTTTACCATTCCAGTTTTTAAATTTGCCTAGAACTTAATTGTTGAACATGGTGCAAATCAGTAACTTTAAGGTCTATACATAGCTATAGACTGAAATTCGGTGTAGATATTTGGGGTCGAAGTCCATCAGCCACTGCGCGATAACCGCCCTTATAGACACTCGAATATACTGCTACAACCCAAGTAGCAGACTAATTTCTGAGGCAAGTGCAGACAGCACAGAAGGAATGCCGGGAATCAACTGACGAACCGAAACCCCATGCAGCTGTGGCATGCAGTGACAGAATATCGGCGAAACACGATTGTCTGGGCCTTTTAGCTAGTACCTGTGCTGTCAAAAGGATAAGTAATTTTTGTACATATGATCTTTTTTGAATGACTTTTCCGCAATAGGACTGAACCTGTATTCGAAAGTCTGAAAATTATCCACAGTTTATGACTTATGGTACCCCCACATTCGAATACAAAGTTTAAAGAAAACACAATTAATAAGCACAATTATTTTTGCAAACCTTCTCCTTGAAATATGATCAGGTTTATAGAGGCATCGCTAATGCACCGAAAACCGATACTCAAGTAGGACTTTTTCCAAGTGCTAGTTAGAACGATAATATAAAGACCCTGTTATGCGGAAACTAACAATTTGCAAACACAAGAGCACGTAAATAAACTATTACACCTGAAAGTCTGGTTAAAATGGTAGTTCGCATTTCATACATCTTCAATTCACTAGACGTTATCAGAACATTTTTCTAGAAAGTGGATACCGATTTTCCCCTTCTTTTTCTGTTGATGCTTTCGTTCCGGAGAGCGCTTAGCTAACTCTGAACACTCTGCCCCTCTAGAGCAAACATTTTTCAAATGAAGTTAGTATTTTTATTCTACAGCGACCTTTCTCTGAAAGCCGAGCAATACTGTCAACACGAGAGTACATTTTTCAGCGCTTGGGCTGTTTGTCACTCTAAATTTGGTTGAAAGTTTGTCGAGGCCAGCGGCAAGGCTAAAGCCATTAATTATTGAAATCCTGAAGGAGAAAAAAGCTTTCTTATCCTACGTCGGTGTACTCCCGATGACCCGTCGAAAAGACGGGGACTTAAGTGAACAGGAAAGTTATTTCACAAAAACATATCGGAGTAGGAAATGTCATTTTCCGAAAGCAAGGCCTGTAAAAATCTCCTAAAGATATATATATATACCTCTGGAATGTATTTTTTGGTACAAATGAATTTGCTATTCCTGTTAATTTGCCGACGAACATACCAAGATGTCAGCAGCGGTGGCAATTAACGTGCACTTGAGACATTCTACCAAACAGCGTGGTATTTAGATAATCAAAATAACAGTTATAACGGGGAGGGAGGCGTCGAAATGAGGACATCGTTTGGTGCTTGCCTCTGATGGCGCGCCTGTCAGCTGCGTGAGATCAAACGGTATTCGCTTATCACTGATGCCTCGAGCCACGTAAAGGCTATATTTCCAATGTTGGGGCAAAATATGCCTTTTACAAAATCAACACTGAACATCAAGTAGATCGGAAACCTTGCACGTCAACCAACTATGTAACTCAATCGAGACAAGTAAACAAAATGCAAACGGCTAAAGTGATATTTCAGATCCAACTATGAAAAAACTCATAGAGTAACCAATTCAATCGTTCTGCACAGGTTAACAACTAAATGGCAGCCAGGACGGCATAGGTGATAACAGCCAGGTTGTTCAGTGATTGACGACTTAAACAGGAAAATGGCCGCTTGCCGGCAAAAATGCTGAAAACATTTAAGCCAAAAGCCAGAACGAACTGTAGTTTGTTGGATTTTATAACAGTCAACGAGCTCAGAAGATGCTTGCCAAGGTCAGAATATAATTCAGGTGAGGGATGGTTTCCCATTTCCCATTTCCCATGAGGTCATGACGTCATAATAATTGGAGAAAGTTAAGCAAGAATATACTTCGGAAACCTGTGAAGCAAGACTTTCAGTCGTCAAACCGCCAACGCTAGCGATAACATAGCCATGTGCGAAAAAAGCAGACTCCGACGGCCAGGGTGCATTGTATATGCTGGGCAGATGGATAAGCGGGTTCATTCAGTGCTGGGCATCTAACGAGTTCTTCCGTAAGGGTCTCCAACTAGCTTACATGGAGATCGAAAGAAAATGTCTTATTTAGCGGGGAGACAGAGGAAATGTAGATGTGATGATAAGACGAAAACAGATAAAGGAAGGAGCGGGAGAAAGAAAATAGATGGTGAACTTCGAACCATGCGAATGCGATACACGGTGGTGGATTACGGGATATTCACTAACCATAGTTAATGTTTTCCACTCGCCCGCCTGTACAGGGTCGAATTCAGGACCGAAGTATGTGCGCACTTGTAGGAGATAGATTACCGGATCACTGAGAGGGTCTCGTTCGCCCATGTCAGCATTCCAGGAGAGCTCGAAAGCTCGGGGTTTTCCCTCCTCGACGATCTGTGGGGCTGCAACCAGACCTGGGACACCTAACAACGAGAGACAGAAAATAATACTTACACGGATCTGTCACACGCCTACACTTGATGTTGTGGACAGAAAAGTATAAAAGTAGTCTAGAAGTTTCTTTAGGTTATAGGTTGCGCAATCTTTGGTCAGGTTTCCCGAGGACAAGTTGCGCGAGCAATTTAAAGACTAAATTAATTTTGCGATCGTTTTACAGTAATTTCACAAGGCCATAACACGCTTCATCAAATTTGATAATTATTAATCATTATTATTGGTGGTAAACACTTATTCAGCTCAACCTCATTCGCTTGAATGATTTTTTTTTCGCAGAAACGGACATTAAACCATTTCCGCGTACTATTGCAGTAATGACTACCTACAATGGACCGATAATGTGACCTAAGAGCTCGCCAGGGCCGCTCGTTAGGAATGCTCCTAACAGATATGATATATTCTGGCCTCAAGGTACATGGAGTCTCTATCATATTTCCGATAAATTATCACACTGCATTTATCGTCCTTGATGTGTAACAGTTATCAAACAATATTTTAAACGCCAAGCATAAGTAAACCTGAAGTTAACTAGTAAGGTCACGGCCAGGCAGCACGAAGAGGGAATGTCTCACCTTCAAGCGGCTGCTTCAGTCTATCGGAACAAATATAGCCAGTTTTCCTTGGGATGGTCGGAAACGCATAAAACTGAATGTTCCCCTAGCTGTGGAAAACCGAACTCCAATGAAAAACGGTCTGTTTTGGCAGTCGGGAACTGCACTGCAGCAAATGCTGAAATAGTGGTAGAACTTAACTAGCTCGAAAATATTTTCCGGGTCCGAAGCTAAATTTCCCAGATCGTTGTCCGCTGACTGGAAACAACTTGGAATGGCTTGCTGAAGACAACAACAAAATCAGAAACGGTCACCAAAATCTTCTATGTCTTGGTTGCCAATGTGACGCAATTAGAAGTTGCTCCTATTAAAGTCGCGGTCTACCAGCAGTCTTCCCCAGAGCTACAAGTCCGAAAGGAAACTCCATTCTTTATCCTGAAATGATGGTTAATTTGAGAAGGTTTCTACCAAATAGTATAGTCCCAACCACTACCTGTGTGTCTGTGGCTCGATGCCCAATTGCATCAACTAACCAAAACTGACAAACAGTACTTCGGTCCGCCCGACTCAAGTTAGGACCGATACTGACTTAGGAAGAGAAGTATGTCTGAGATGTCCATCTCAGTCTCTTTTGATTTTGGCGGTAACACCTCGTAATTAATCTCAACTAAGTTAGTACTTCAAAGGGGTCGTAAGTGATCAAAAACTTTTTCACGCAATCCCCGTTTAACTAATGAAGGACTATCAAGAATCAACAAAACGAATTATGGTAGTGGGGTGATAACAGGAAGTACAGTGGTGGTCACAAGAAGTGGAGTTTACACTTATCTGCGTACGGTAGTTCTTTAACTTCTTGGTTTTTGAGGCATCTAATAATTGGTAATCAAGCCGTGTTCGTGCTTACAACTTCTGTTGCTACTCATGAAGCTTGGTTGGTGTTCTTAACATCAACTAGCCAAAATTGTTTCTTGGCAAAACGTTGAACATGATTTAAGTTTTGAACTTATTGCGACGCCTTATGAAGGACATTTCTTTTGTTTTTGGAAGCTAAAAGGGCGTTTGAAAAGACAACTTGCTTGAGATACGAGTCTCTAGCAAAGGATTTGAAGAAATGGTTCGCTTAGTGGTACACATTTCAAAAAATAATATTTAATGTTGCATACATTTTAATGGCGTTAGGCAACAGTTTTGGATCATTTGGTCAGAAGTGCAGCCCTTAGGTTAAGATGCGAAGGCAGCCTGGCAGTACACACTTCCGATGTTCGTGTTTACCTCAAGTAAAATGTTATAGGTGGGGCTACGAAATAAAATTTATGATAACACCGTGTATTCACTGAGATGAAACGACGGTCTGCACACTTTGACATTTAAAAATCATTACACTTATCGCTGACATTCTATAATCAGGAACATACGAGAAAACGAGTTTCCGAACAATGTCCTAAGGATATCTTCGGCCTATCAGCTAAGAACATGTTCCCGATCCTGCGAGCGGTTCAACTGAATGTTTTAATCCAGTTCTTACCTTTTGTTCCATTTTCCTATTCCCTTCATAGCAATAAAGCTCTTGGAGACTCACCTTTTCCAAATTCTGGCCGCACACACTGTTCGTTACAGCATTTCAAATCATCTGGGCAATTTTGGTCGATTGCGCACATGGAGATGCCAGCGGAACCGTCGTCAGGGCCAGCAGGAAGCCAATGGTCGGCGCCCGGAGTCGAGGTTTCCTTGGGATCCTGGAATGGCAGGCTTCCATCAGGGATCGCGGTGGGACAATCGCCCGGTCGGTGTTTCAAGGCTCTGTCCAAGTTCCGACAGCCCGTGAGACAGGCCCAACCTTCGGGTATTTCACCAGACTAAAAATTAAATCGACTTGCTTTAATCAAGACACGCCCGGTGGGCCAGAAAGCGTCTATATGCCTCTAGGGCTT